CAGCAATTGACAAAAATATCGACAGATTAATTAAATGTGAAAATAATCATTAGTTGCAGTCCTATGCAGACTGTACTGAGGTAGTAAATCAGTTCAGTTATTGAAGAAAAGTAAGTCAATAATTATTGCTTTTTCCATTCATTCTGTGTTTTCGGGTGAAAACGGGCACGACTGTGTCAGCTTTTTGCAGAAAATTGTATTATTATGATCCAAAATGTAACTAATTGCCACAACAGTTGCGACTCGTTATCTGCCAGATTTACATGCTGAGATACTTGAGATACTGAGATGAAATCTGTCGAGACAGAATCGACTCGTTAAAGGTCAAATCTATGCGGATAAGGGAGGAAGCTCTAAAATGCGGATTTTTTTAAGTGGAGTTTGGTGTAGCTCTTTGTTCCCACAGAGGATCCCGTTAGATGTCTGGGTACAGACACCCTAATGAAAACAAGCGGTAATAACAGGTTTATAACAGGTATTAGGATAAAGAAAATTGGATAATTGCATATTGAACCCAAAAGGTTTGCTGGCTGGAAAACAAATACACGGAATGTGTGTTTATCGACGTGACTGAGTGAATCATTTGCAGGAGCAGATAAGTCAACACACACTTGAAGCAGAAGGGTGAGAGTGGCGAACAATAAGACAGGACCATAACAGGAGACTTACCAACTATCCCGAGAAAAAGTCGTGATAAGGCGAATACCAGGAGCAAGGGTCGACTTCATTTTCGATAAAAACTAGATTAAACTCGGCGTAGAAACATCAGCACTTGGTCCCAGACATGTCTCCGATGTGCTAATACGAGGCACCGTGGGGCTCTTGGTAGCTCCGTAACTACACACGAACAACACGACGAACTAACCCGAAAGTTAAACCAACTCGGGATGAAAAACAAACGCCTACTTGTGCGGAGTAAAATCGGATCTTTATGCCGAGAGAAGGTTCAAAGTAGGCGCTAGCTGCTGAATATATAAAGCAGCTGTTGTTCGGCTTCCTGGTGGCAGATTCCGACCGAAAACATCCCAAAGTGCTCCATACTGTACCGCCAAGTTTATATACGCCGCTGGTCAGGAGAGCCTGCCTCCTCCACCAAGCCTGGAGACACGTGTAGCTTTGACAAAAAAAAAAAAAAAAACGGTTATGAATAGATGAATGTTAGTAATATTCGTCCGAGATTTGTTTTTCCAGCAGATTTTCCAGATGGAGACTCCCGGCGACGGCACGACGCACGGCAGTGACGTCAGACGTCAGACGTCAGCTGAGGTAGCCGCAGGCGGCGACAGCCCTCCGCGCGCTCAGCACCTGGTTTATATGTGGTCCAGGGGCCACTACACACATCTGGAGACCAAGTAGGTTGGGGTGGTCCAACAAAATCAAAAGAAAAAGCTTAATTTCTGTAATCCTATTATGCTTTTTATGCACTGCAATTAATGTTACTAATTATCTGATGTGCAAATACTAACACTGGTACAGTAAGTATGTTGGTTATTTGGGAGACCACTGTTCAAAACAGTCCCTGCAAAGACATGCTGCTTTATTTCTCTGGACCCATTGTGTTTCACCTGCAAGCACTTGTGTAATTTTCCCTTCATTTCTTAAGTTAACACTCAACAACGTGCAATAACTACTTTTCTGAGCAATAACACAAATATAGCTCCATTATTAATTACACTGTATACTTTTTTTCTCGTAACAATGCAGATTTTACACTTTATACCGATATTTTTCATACTCATGTTTATCTAGATATTTTTAGCATTGCTTAAATTTCTAAGACTTTGAATGAAGTGTAACAATTTCCCTGAGGTTTGCACCAAAGTTCTGTTCTATTCTATTCTATTCTATTCTAACAGCAATTTCGCCTCAAAGATCAATAAAGCATTTCTGATTGTGACTGAAGGAAAAACCTGTAGGCCTCCTCAACTTGGGACATTGTTAGAAATACTTGTACCTCAAAGACACATCAAGAGTTTATTTATTCTGTCCATGTGTAAGTAGGAAGTAATTTATCAAACAAGAGGAACTCATGGTGTAATAAAATGTGTACTGCCTGCCATACTTGGTAGTTGCTTAACTTATTAAAGAAGTTGCATTGTGACAATAATGTCACTGCTGCAAATATCCTGTTGTGTAAGGGAAAAACTGCTCTACAGAAAAAAATTAATATGACAGAAAAATAATTAGACTTAAGAAAACAGATCAAACTTTTACAGTAAAATAATACTGAGTTTAGCTGAGCTCAAGAGTCAGCTCACCTGTCCGAGGTGTAGAGAAGTACACAGCGTCATTTACCATAAGATCCCTACCAATCTTGTCTCAATAATTTATAGTTATAAATAATTAATGAAGTTACAGCTGAGTTGTGGACATAAAACCATGCACCTGTCTACTTTGGAGACATTCATATTAATCCTGCTACTGTCTGATGTTGCAGGTATTTCATAAACACAACATAAGCATGTTCTTTTCATAACAATTTACATTGTAGTGTAGCTTTTTGTTTGAACACTTGGGGGGCACATTAAAAAGGAGGTCTATGGGTCCTCCTCAAGGAAATCTTGAGTAATTACAACAATGCGTTTTCTTCCTTAACTAATCATATACCATATTTAGAATGTAAAAAGCTAATAACTGTCACTTTGCAATATGTACATTTTAATGGGAGTAAAAAGCAAAATATTGACATTTGAAATGTAATGACGAAATGAAGACGTAGCACAAAATAGAAATACTCTAGTCAAGCACAAATACCTAAAAACTAAACTTGAGAACTATAATTTGATTTACTAGAATTAACAGAATAACCAGAGTTGCAATTATGCATCTGGTTTAGAAACGGAAAATAGTTATAACACCCTCATGACACAAATGTAGCATCAAGCTTCACAAAAAATAAAAAGACTCATGGCTTCTTTTTAGTTTTTATCCCTTAATCATGTCAGTTTTTGTTCATTTAACCTCAGTGAATACAATCTGAGCTTCAAGTTTTTTTGTTGGCTATATTAGTGCACAGTCAGTTTCATTACTGCAGAACATCCATCCATCCATTATCTATACTCCGCTTAATCCCCACTACGGTTGCGGGGGGCTAGAGCCTATCCCAGCTGAGGACAGGGGACACTCTGGACAGGTCACCAGTCTATCACAGGGCTACACTTAGAGACAGACAAACAAGCACACTCACATTCACACCTATGAACAATTTAGAATCACCAATTAACCTCAACATGTTTTTGGACCTTGTGGGAGGAAGCCGGAGAACCCAGAGAAAACCCACACTGAATAGGGAGAATACAGAAAGCTCCCGGGTGTCCTCACCAGGACGTGAGGCAACAGTGCTAACCACCTTGCAGCCCTACTACAGAACAGTAAATTCCAAAAATGAATAAAGATTTGATCATCACTGTGAAATCTCCTTTGATTTCTAATGAACAAATATCTGACACCTTGAACATCCATCCATCCATTATCTAT